CCAGTAGTGTTGTAGACGTCCACCCACTCGGGAAGGTTGAACAGGAACGGCTGGGGATGGAAGACTCCAGTCGTTCCGAACCCGTCTTTCATCGTCTATAGCCTCTGGGTGCCCTGCCTCGTCCTGATCGTCCTCTATAGTTGCCGGATGGGCGATGAAAAGAATCCTTTCCTCCTTTGGAGGTCCCCATTTTCTTTTCTCTTGCTTTCTGGATGCCTGCAAATTTGGATTTGCCCGAGTAGCGTTGGGACGTCTGCCTGATGACACTGGCTAGTGTATCAATGGACTTGATCATCAAGACCTCCCTAGATTCCTTCGTGACTTCCTTGGCGACCTCGTCAATCTCCCCTGCGAAGATGGATGTTGTAGACCATGGAGCTCTGTACAGCGTCTTAGTGAAGCGTTCGCTCCAGTTGCATGACGACAATAGTCCTTGTCTTCTAGCTAGCGTCAGAGCTGCTGATATGGATGATAGATGCTCCGACATAAATTGGTGGTCCTTTTTCTGCGTTAGTAGGGCAGAATAAATCATCCGGTCTTCCTCTGCAGTAGAGTTCTTAAACTTGGTGATGAGCGTCTCATTAACTGCCCTGGATCTGTTAAGTCCGAAGAACATCCTTCTGGTCATAGTGTCTATCTGTGCCAGCTTTTTGTCCTCAATCTTGTAAGATTTGGTCCGGGAGTCGTTGATGATTTTATAGTTCTCATCTATTTCTTGCGCCTTCATGAAGGGGTCCATGTTGTGTAGTGAGAACTTCTTTGCGTTGAACTGTGGGATATTAGGAGCCTGGAACTTCGTTGCCTTCCTAAATCCTCTGGTACTTCCGAGATGGGATCAATTGGAGGTAGAGTGATCGTGTCCACATCATCGTCCTTCATTAGGTACGTGAGTGCTTCATTCTCTTCCTTAGAGGGTGACGCTAGGTCCAGTCCATTAGCCATCCAATATTTTATCTCTGAGTCCGAAAATATGATACCGCCATCGTCCTCTGTATCATGTTCACTGGTATAAGATCGTTGACCATCCTTTGTTGGGGATCTGCGTGGGGATGAGCATGTTGAACTACGTGTGGTTCTAGGAGGCTATCGCGTAGGTGAGCGTCTTCTAGTCCTGGATTGCCTTCCTGACGATCTTGTTGACGCTGTTGACGATATTACAGATGACCTTCGCGCAGGTGAGAGATTCTGTTGAGGGTCTGAGTCCCGAGACGTCTCTCTCGACCTTCTAGGTGGTGTAGGTTTCCTTCTCTGTGAAGTGGGTAGCCTGCGTGAAGGTTCTTTGTTAGCCTCATCATCTGATAACGATCTCCTTGGTCTGAAGAGCGTGCCGTCCTGCGCGCAGGTTTGCTGACGTCATGTAGCGTAGATCTGCTCTTAGTCCTAGAGCTAGATTGTCTGGTGGGCCTCTCAGATGTATCATCAGTGTAGGGTCGTTCGTGCAGGTCTGGATCCTCTCTGAGGTTGATGACTTGAGCATGAGAGCCGCCTGGCTGTCCATCATGCAAGGCTCTTTCCTGCGCAAAGCGCTTCTCCATCATCTCCATCATCTGTTGAGAGAATTGCTGCATGAAGGCCCCAGGGTTGAATGTCTGCGACGATTGTAGAGATGTCGTATCTGAGATGGTAGCGATATGGTCCAGGGATCGCTGTGCCTCATGGATCTCTGCTGTCAGTGTAGACTCGGATTGCGTAGATAGGGCTGCTGACGTTACCGTTGCTGAGGCCTGCTTCCTTTTCTTATGATGTATCTCTGGGATGATCAACGGTTCATCATAAAGTCCTCTCTCTTCCATCGGGACGATTTCGGCCGCAAAGGTCCTCATAATCTGCGAAGAACTCCCCGTAGAGCTGCTTGAAGTAATAGGGGTGTGAGGCTTTTTCTGCGTTGAAGATGGCCTCTTCTTCTTCGTCTGGGTTGAGGAGTTGTCCGAAGTAGAAGACCTTTTCTTCGATGTAATGGCGGACAATATCCCACGCCCATCTTCAGAGGACGCCTCCGGCAGGTCACCGGATGAAAGTATGTCGTCGGACAACGATGGACAGCTCTTGAGGGACTCAGACGGTTTATCAATGACTTGTAAAAGTCGACGGGATTTATCCTTAGCACGTCTAAGTACAGAGAAATAATGATTATTAAATTGAATTTGTGTTAATTGCTGACATAAGTTACAGCGAGAGCTGGAAGTGCATATTGTTGTGCAGCTGGGGCACAGTAAATGCAGGTCTGCAGCAGATAACCTAAACCTACAACGAAAACAGGTTTTCATGAAATGTAAACAACTGAACAATCACGTAAAAAACGTGAATAAACAGTCAAATTACCAATAAATTTCAAACCATATTGTAGAAGGATACTCCCTAAAGCCTTATAAAGGTAGCTTATAGGGAAATAACTAATTAATCAAAGGATATAGTGCCGTATTGGAGACACAGGCGCTCTCCCAACCGTCCATTAGGGCGAAGAAGGAGAGAGTGAAGCATGGGAAGACAGGTGGCGCTGTTTTCCCGCCAAAACCAGAGGGACATAACTCATGGTGAGTAGTGATTTTATGTCTGCTCTTTTGAAAGGGAGCTTAAAAAGGAGATACAAGTGTTCCACTAACGTTCGCGAAAGGAAGGAGACAAGCAATAATACATGAGTCAGGATAAGGAAAAATAATGGCTACTCATACCCCCACCCCATAAATACAAAATTTAACATATCCCCTATATTGGCTTTTTAACAAGAGTGCTGTCATTCAAAATGACCCAAAACAAACAAATAAATAGAAAAAAACAACATCATCACATCCCAGGCATATTAAGTCTCCAATACCCTTTACTCGATGCAAAGATTAATGAGGACTGGTCAGTCATTACATAGCCTGGCTGATTTTGTTCAGTCTTAAAGTGTGGATACTTGTCATTGTTGCCAGGGGCAAGTTTGTATTCATAAAGTTGCAATATATGTTACTGAATTACCAACAAGAGTTCAAATCCAACAATTAACAAGAATGAAGAAAAATCCATGTGTTTTATAAGCGTGCCAGTCCTTTTCAAACCTAACTTCACCCTGCTGGCCTGAAAATTGTGTATTTCTTGCTGCCAGAGATTTGAACATATTATCAATCACAAATGACATCATTATGTCAAGGATATTTTTGTGAAACACAGAACACCCCCAAACACACCTGTACTAAAACAAGTCAAAAAGATAAATGAGTGAGTGAGTATAGTTTTACACCACCTTTTGCAATATTCCAGTAATATCATGGCAGGGACGCCAGAAATGGGCTTTACACATTGTACAAAAGATAACTAAACTTGCAACAAATTTGTAAACATTAAAAAGAAATGGTAGTTATATGCTACCAAACAGACTAGACAAGTTTCTTGTTGCTGAATGCTACGTACACATTAGCAACACAATGTACAACACAATGTATGTACACAGTTCTTGACAAGGGGAATCTGGTCTAACAACTACATATACCTCTGTGTACATGAATCACATCATATACCATACAGTTGTAACATAACAATGCACATATCTTTCAAACTATGATGCCTTAGTGTAATACAAACAGTAAACATAACTAAGAACTATAGTCAAATCCCGATGAGTCGAATCACTGGGGACCATAATAAATTCGACTTATCGATGTATTCGAGACATAGGTATGTCTATGAGGGTAGAAAAAAAGATGATCCAGTCCTAATTCCTCCGCCTAAACATTTGTTAATCTAATGATTCCCATATCACTAAAAAGGGGCACCTTATCAGTTCCAGTCTGATTAGCACAGACAGTGATTTTAAAATCACTAATTGGCCTTTTGAACTCACCCGTCAAAGGCGGAAAGGTGTGAGCCGCGCTGGTTTGTTAATTTGATCGGTTTGCTACACTAATCAACTTCTCATTGACTGACTTCAGCTTATGTATACAAGATTGCTGTTGTTTGAATCTCATGGGACCAAATTTCCTTCTCGAGTCATTGTGTGTTTTATGAGACGAATTCATGTAACCGGAAATCAAATGATGACAACTATAACAGGGAATGGTCGGGACCGACAGGTACTTCGAGTTATGCATAATATTCGAGACACCGGCATTCGACTCATCGGGATTTGACTGTAGTTATAAATCTTCTACAAAACATTTGTAAGGCAATGGTAATGTCAAATTGCTGACTTCTAAGATTCAAGACTTCTTAGATGTTACTGGCCATAAAGTGGTAACAGGCATACCTATTGGTATCAATGGAATGGCATTCTGAATTGGAATCATTCTTTCTTCTGTGCAACAATTTCAAGTTGAAATCCACTGGACACTGAACATATTCCCACTGAAACGCTTATACAAAGTGTAAAGAAAAGTCTGGGGTAAATGAAGGGTAAAGATAGAAAGTTTATTACTTATTTGGATGAAAGTTGCACCCAAAAATAATAACATTTTTATGCACAGTCAGTTGACAATTTTCACTCATTAATTGACACATATAAAGGGAGATAACTGCATGAGTTCCAAGCTCCCATCTTTTATTCTGAGACATAACCCAACTGTTTTTTTTGCTTACTCAGCACTCAGCAATATTGCAATGCTAGGATGGTCTGGAAATAGTGGAGCGAATCCCAATACAGAGGTTCAAAAATCCCATTGCCCGACCCTCGGGACAAGTTAGTTTTTATTTCGGGCAATCAAATAATGGTATCGTACTTGTCCGTGGGCTACTAGATAATTTCCACTTATGGTTTCAAACTGCAAATAAACTTTGATTTAATTTCATATCTGCTCAAAATATAGCTATTAAATTTCGCAATGATAATAAAGTAGAGTTATCTTTCTTTGCTATTTATCACTTTTCAATAAATAGTCCAGTAAATATTAACATCAAATACCGTGTTGATTTCTTCTTTAATAATTACATCATCATAATTATGTCATAAAATCAGGGCAAGTGGAAAATTAGTCAGGACAAGTTACTTTCTTAAAGTCACTTGCCCTTTGGCAAGTAGCATTTCAAAAAACATTTGAACCCCTGCCAATAACTACCCAGATGTGACCTTTGTCCACACTGATGCAAACTTCTTCAAGACTGATATGGATCTTGGATGCAAGCATCATAGAAAGGGATACTGGCTTCACGAGATTCTATAGACATTGTTGAATCATTTTGTGTTGTTGTGTATATGAAACATTTTAATCATCTATCAAATTAAACCATGTTAAGCCATTCGGAATAAGACCAATGAATAGTTCTTCCCATCATCTGATAAAACTACCATTTACTAACACTTACTAACACTAAAATCTACTCAAAATAATGCAAAGAGATAGGTTCTAACTAGTAGTGATTAAAAGGTTTTTGGCACAGACTGCCTATTGAATACTGACACTTCAAATTTAACAGTAAATTTCAAACCGGTAATAACAAGGATTTCTCCTTTAACAAATTCACCAACAGTCAATGTAACCATGGTAACAACCTGTGCATAGTGTTGAAAGATTGTCTATTACGTACTGCAGAAACTACACAAATCCTGCATATGTTTACATCAAACCTCTGCTCGGAATCCCTTTATAAATGGCAAGCCTGTGCCAACTTTCCTCTGATAGTCAATATACTCTTCTCCAAAGAAGTTCAGGAGGTACAGTTCCTCTTCAAATATCCTCTCCTTGAAGAACCTCCAGGAGACAGCAGTGTAGCCAGCAAGGCAGATAGGGTTACACAGGACTAGCTGCAAGGTGCAACATTTACCATTAAGATTGTTAGAGCAACATCCATTTTTACCATCAAGATTGTTATATATCATTGGAGCAACATCCATATTAACCACAAAGTTTGTTTTTTTCAGAAGAATAACATCCATATTTACCATCAAGTTTGTTATTCCATTTGAGCTACATTCAAATTTACCATCAAGTTTGTTATTTCATTGGAGCAACATCCATATTTACCATTAAGTTTGATATTTCATTTGCAAAAACAAAAATCATTAACACTCAACTTCTGGTTCTAAATAGACAAATATTTTTTTTCTGGAAGGCCAAATCAGTGATGATATAGCTTTAGCAAACAGCATAAACCATATGTTATCAGTGAGCAAGGGAGTCAGTTATATACTGCTGTTTGCAACAATAAAGCCATATCATGGCACCTGAAATGTACTTAACACAATCAAACCAAGGCTATATGACCATCTCAATTAAATGTGTTTCATGGTTATTGCAGGGGAGCAAACTGGCTACAAACCTGAAAGCCTCAGCAATTTTGTTTGATATTAGAGGTATCCATTGGGCCTTGCTTATACTTTGTGCTCATGGGTGTTTTTTACATGTTATCACTATACAAGACCTGTAAACGTTTTACTTAATTATCATTAGATTTTCATAACAAAAACATTTGGACAGACTATTGTTGCCAAGTGACAAAATTAGATACGCTTCACTGATAACATCATTAGCAGTAACACAAAGGGAGATAGCTCCTACTGACCTGAGTTCCAATACTCCAGTAGAACCAACCGACATAGGAAGGATGTCTAAAGAACTGGTAAACTCCATGAGTGACCAGTGAGTGTCCGGCTTGTTTAGTATGCTGCACGTAGTGGTTGAAGTTGGTGTTGGCTGTCACCATACTCAATTTCCGTAAACACTCGCCACCAATCACAAGCATGAGTCCAATAAGGCCCACATACCGAATCTCCTTCAGACCTGATTACACAACAGATTAGAATAATGATTCCATCAAGATTGCTTAATTACAATCATGAAAATATTCCTTTACTTGGGGCCCTGACCTGGGATCCAAGAACAGGTTCTGTGGGTTCTTTAAGCCAATCAGATGATTTGATTTGAACACCTCATTCCTGGCATGCCTGAAAGGGGCACCTTTGGTCTAGGGAATTGTGGTGCCTTAGACGACTGGCCCACCCATGTCCCCCAATGATGACAAGTGAGTCAACAATGCTGGGATGTAGAGAGTTACACACAGTTGCAATTTGGAATGGCAGGTTAGAAGTTATGAAATACATTTGGTGACAGCAGACACAGGTCATAAACAATCAAATTACACTGACTGACTGACTGAGTTTTGGTTTTACGCCGCTTTTAGCAGTATTCCAGCAACATCACGGCAGGGGACACCAGAAATGGGCTTCACACATTGTACCCATGTGGGGATTCGAACCGGGTCTTCGGGGTGACGAGTCAACGCTTTAACCACTAGGCTACCCCAACGCCCCCAATCAAATTACAACTCTTAACACATGCTTAAACACAGCACCTCTTACGAGTCTAACGAGGCACATTGTATGATGGTCCTGTGCCCACCTCATGCTCATATCAGGATACATGTGTACAGATATTTGACTTGCTGTCTAAATACTTGTGGTTCTTGTTGACAGCAACAAAAATATTTGAAATAACACATGCTACATGGTACAGTAAGTGATGCATAATTTGTTGATTATACTTGTATGTGCTTTTATGTTATGTATTATCAACACAAAATTTTAACATTTTGCATCAAATGTTTATTGATTTACTGAATAACTTGGATCTTTGCAGCGATACCAGAAAAGTAATTGGATGTATCTCTTACTAGGAAAAATGAACCATTCGATGGTGAACTCAGTCCAGCTGGCTAGTGCTGCCAGCTTGTATTCCCGACTGTGATCCAGAAGATAGGACTCCAACGACAAGGCTTTGGGATTGGTCACTGCAGTTGTGTAGTACTCAGACCAGTGGAAGAAGGCAAGAGCTGTGATGTACCAGCCGAAGTGCACCCATGATGTGTCAGACATGCTAATCAGCAGTCCGATTCCAAAACTAACTCCTAAGAAACCTGCACGCACACCATTCTGAAAATACAAAGGAATAAACAGTAAATGAACGTGTAACGCACTTCACTGCAGTTTTATGAACAGAACTATCTGACAGACATTACGTCTTTACAGAGATGGAAATAATCAGTGAGTTTTGTTTTACACCACACTCTGCAATATTCCAGCTATATGCCGGCGGTCTGTAAATAATCGAGTCTGGACCAGACAATCCAGTGATCAACATCATGAGCATCGTTCAACGTAATTGGGATGCAATGACATTAGTCAACCACCTGATCCCTTAAGTCGCCCCAGATGACAGGTTGTGGTTTCTGAAAAACAATTCTAACCCGGATCTTCACGGGTATCATAAATGTCTTCTGATCCAAATAGTGTTAAGATTTAGCAATATCTCCAGCTATGTTTGAAATTGTACTGGCCATTAGGATACCTTTAACAATAACAAAACTGGTACTGACTAAGGCTTAATATCATCATTGTCCTTTGATGCATTTTTATGATGTTGAATTTTTCATAGCTAACACTGACCATAAATGATAAAATATCCCAAAGCGAGCTGAATTTGACGTTCTGGTGATTTCGATGATTGCATTGCTCGCGTTATATTGGGAGAGTATGTGTGCGATCAGAGTGCACAAGCAGTTTCATTGGTAGGGCGGGTGCCAAGTCACTGTCGTGAGAAGTTTTATTGACAATGGAAATCCGGAAGTTAAGTTATATAAAAAGCAAACAAACATCAATACTATTTACCTGAGATCATTATTACCACTTCAGAAACCCATGCTTATCGTAAGAGGCGACTAATGGGACCAGGTGGTCAGGCTCGCTGACTTGGGTGACACATGTCATCGGTTCCCAAATGCGCAGATTGATGCTCATGCCGTTGATCACTGGATTGTCTGATCCAGACTCGATTATTTACAGACCGCTGCCATATAGCTGGAATATTGCTGAGTGTGGCGTAAAACTTAACTCACTCACTCACTACCACTTCAGATGCAAAATCAATTGCCTATATAACAAAAATAGCAAGCCAAATTACAGTAAGATCAGTCGTCTGCTAGTGACAGGCAATATATAAATAGGAAGCCACATGATCACAACATTCCCTTTGCAGTGCGGAGCACTGGCTCATCGTCGAAAACCCATACAAAATATCTGGATGTGGGGAGCAGCAACAGTTTTGCTGATATGTCGTAAACGCTATTTTTGTAGGAACACTTTATATTTTTGCGTGAAATAGATGAATATATCCTTTATCACTCAAGGTTAGTGAAATAAAAACTTTAAATGATATTAAGATAAAAATTACGTTTTTGTCTCAGATCGTCGAAAACCACTGACACCGGAATACATTTTTCACTGTTCGCCTAAATCTTTGATCACAGTACAAACAATGAAACAGTTTTATTTATCAATACATAGATAAACAAACTTTTGGGCATCAACTGTATAAAATGGCATGTCCTTAAACACTGCTTTCGTCTAACACGATTACCATTAATCGACCAAAGCCGAAACATCACAAGATAAAGGAAACTTCCCGTAAAATCGAATGAACTGATCTTTTAAAAACACAACAATCAGTTAATGAATGACAAAAAACGATCCTCGGTGTTTGATTCCCGTTTTGGCCATAAATGATATAGGTGACACGTCGCTATGCCAACATTGTACATGCCTACCTGGCCAACTTGAGACTTACATTGTACATGTCCTTGTTTTGGATATAGACTCCAGCAATGATAGCATTACAGGCGATGACATAAGATCCTATTATGTAAACAAAGTGATCGTTCCATAAACTCTCTATCAGAAAACTAAGATATGTAAAAACAGGCAGGAGACACACGCCACTTCCTAAACAAAAACATATCAAGCTCGTTCGGCTTTCTCTGGACGCTGCCATTTTAACTATCCCGCACTAAAAAACCCTTTGCATGTGATTGGTTATAATGTAGAGCGCGCATGAACTCGCAACTCGGTGCCCGACTTTTCGAAGCGGAACAGTGTTACCAGAGATAACTTGAAAGTAAAACAATTCATGATCCAGTACCCTGAAATGGTTTCTCAAAAACTGTCCGTAATATGCAGAATAACAACATCATACATTGGACAGTTGTTGTACATTAGACACATATCTCAATTGGATAATTAATTATATCCACGTATTTTGATAAACATAAATTGATAAAGCAATCGTCTCCAGTGACCCAGAGTGTTCTTATTCCCCAAGCCCCTGTCCCGAAATATTTGTGTTGGGGATAGAACAGTGATCTAAATTCAGCATCCCGTTTGTTCAATGAGATGCTGTTTTGTGTTTTTGTTTGGTTGTGGTTTGAAACAACACTATCAAAGATACAAGGACCAAATGTAGCAAGATTATCTTGACAAACTACTGACAAACAAATGAATATTTTCAAGTTCAAGAATGCACAACAAAAAAACTGGAAACTATCGTGTTTAGCGTTTATTCTTATTTTACTTGTAAAAATAGAACAACATAACATCATTTTACATCCAGTCATTATGAAATTGTTCCATACATGGAGTAACATCAAACTGTATCTAAACATTCTGTTAACCAACTATTAACTTTATCAGTTCAGCTTATGGACGAGGAACATGAAAACCCGTCAATATTTATCTCACTATTTACCACAGAACTGTATCTTTCACAAGCAAATCACCAGTAACAACTCAATAGTCATATTAACAAACAATCAGTCTCTGCCATTAAACCACTCATGTACAGTCTGTATGTTGGAGTCGTGATTATGTCTGCTGCTTTATCTTTGGATAATTCATGTTTTGAAGGGCGGTGGGGTAGCCTAGTGGTTAAAGCGTTGGCTCGTCACGCCGAAGACCCGGGTTCGAATTCCCACATGGGTACAATGTGTGAAGCCCATTTCTGGTGTCCCCCCGCTGTGATATTGCTGGAATACTGCTAAAAGCGGCGTATAACCATACTCACTCACTCACTCACGTTTTGAAGTACTGATTTGATTGCAGACCAATCATAATGTCCCGTATGTTCAACAATCGTAATTTTCAGCTTGCAATAGCCCTGTAACAACATCGAGTCTGTAACAGATAATGAACAGTTAACTTCAATGAATGGAAATTGTTAACACCTGAATTAACGTGCAACCGGGTTAAATTCAGCATCTTTCAAAATCCGTCGGGAGTTCTGAAATAGTACATTAAGATATTTGCACAATCTGCACACAAAATAACACGTGACATCTAGATAAGGTCTGGGGTTCAGAGCGTCCAATATCAATGCCACGTGACATAATCGACCATTAGCAAGTGACATAGAAGGCTCTGGAACTGAATAGCTTTTTATTTTCTGGAGATATAACCTATAATATTTGTCTTAATTTTATCCCACCGGCATATAATGCGGTGGGATATAGTCGTCGCCTCGTCCGTCGTCCGTCCGTCCGTCCGTCCGTCCGTCCGTAATCATTTTGTTTCCGGACCATAACTCAAAGACCGTTCGATATTTTTTAACCAAAATTGGTAGATATGTCAAAAATAACCTAAGGTGGTGCCTTTTGCTATTTACAGATAATTGTCATTTTTATTTTTCTCGGTTTCCATGGAAACGTTTTGGACTTAGTCTTAAAGAAGGGTGGGCTTCGTTTCCGGAGCATAACTCAAGAACCGTTCAATATTTTTCAACAAAACTTGGTAGATATATCAAACAGATCCTAAAGTGGTGCCTTTTGCATTTCACAGATTTTTGGCATTTTTATTTTTCCCGGTTTCCATGGAAACGATTTGGACTTAGTCCCAAAAGTGAGGGGTGGGCTTCGTTTCCGGAGCATAACTCAAGAACCGTTCAATATTTTTCAACAAAACTTGGTAGATGTATGAAACAGAACCTAAAGTTGTGCCTTTTGCTATTTGCCGATTTTTGGCATTTTTATTTTTCCCGGTTTCCATGGAAACATTTTGAACTTAGTCTCAAAAAGTAAGGATTGCTTTCGTTTCCGGAGCATAACTCAAGAACCATTCAATATTTTTCAACAAAACTTGGTAGATATATCCAACAGATCCTAAAGTTGTACCTTTTGCTATTTGCAGATTTTTGGCATTTTTATTTTTCCCGGTTTCCATGGAAACGATTCGGACTTAGTCCCAAAAGTGAGGGGTGGGCTTCGTTTCCGGAGCATAACTCAAGAACCGTTTAATATTTTTCAACAAGACTTGGTAGATATATCAAACAGATCCTAAAGTGGTGCCTTTTGCTATTTGCAGATTTTTGGCATTTTTATTTTTCCCGGTTTCCATGGAAACGATTCGGACTTAGTCCCAAAAGTGAGGGGTGGGCTTCGTTTCCGGAGCATAACTCAAGAACCGTTCAATATTTTTCAACAAAACTTGGTAGATGTATGAAACAGAACCTTAAGTGGTGCCTTTTGCTATTTGCCGATTTTTGGCATTTTTATTTTTCCCGGTTTCCATGGAAACATTTTGAACTTAGTCTCAAAAAGTAAGGATTGCTTTCGTTTCCGGAGCATAACTCAAGAACCATTCAATATTTTTCAACAAAACTTGGTAGATATATCAAACAGATCCTAAAGTTGTACCTTTTGCTATTTGCAGATTTTTGGCATTTTTATTTTTCCCGGTTTCCATGGAAACGATTCGGACTTAGTCCCAAAAGTGAGGGGTGGGCTTCGTTTCCGGAGCATAACTCAAGAACCGTTCAATATTTTTCAACAAAACTTGGTAGATGTATGAAACAGAACCTTAAGTGGTGCCTTTTGCTATTTGCCGATTTTTGGCATTTTTATTTTTCTTGGTTTCCATGGAAACATTTTGGACTTAGTCTCAAAAAGTAAGGATTGCTTTCGTTTCCAGAGCACAACTCAAAAACCGTATAATATTTTTCAACAAAACTTGGTAGATATATCAAACAGATCCTAAAGTTGTGCCTTTTGCTATTTGCAGATTTTTGGCATTTTTATTTTTCCCGGTTTCCATGGAAACGATTCGGACTTAATCCCAAAAGTGAGGGGTGGGCTTCGTTTCCGGAGCACAACTCAAAAACCTCTCTATATCTTTCAGCAAAACTTGGCAGATATGTGAGGCAGATCTTGAAGTGGTGCCTTTTGCTATTTGCAGATATTTGTGATTTATTATTTTCTCGGTTTCCATGGAAATGTTTCGAACTTAGTCTCAGCAAAAGGAAGGGATGGGTTTTGTTTCCGGAGCACAACGCGAAAACTTCTTAATATCTTTCAGCAAAACTTGGCAGATATGTGAGGCAGATCCCAAATCCCCTTCTCAAAAGTGGTGCCTTTTGCTATTTGCAGATTTTGTCATTTATTTTTTCATGATTTCCATGGAAACGATTTGCACTTAGTCTAAAAAATCAAGCTGGACTTTAAGTAACTGTCAGATGATTTGTTCTTTCAAAGATGTGACAGGGGAAGCCTAATGGGGATATGTCATCTTCTGATGACTCTTGTTATAACGGGAAATGAAATACCCACTCAACATTCATAATACCCACTCCAAAACAATACAGTGGGTACAGTACCCACATGACCTAATTCTTATCTAGAGCTCTGGGTTTGTTGTTTAACGCCGCACTCAGCAATATTCCAGCTATTAGGCAGAGGTCTGTAAATAATCGAGTCTGGACCAGACAATCCAGTGATCAACAGCATGACCATCGATCTGCGCAATTGGGAACCGATGACATGTATCAACCAAGTCAGCGACAAGCATGGGTTACTGAAGGCTCATTTTAACCCGGACCTTCACGGGTCGCTTCACACATTGTGGGGAATCGAACCCGGTGTGACGAGTGACGCTTTAACCACTAAATTACCCCATCGCCCCTTCAATATCACAAAGGGGAACACCAGAAATGGGCTTCACACATTGTACCCATGCAGGGAATCGAACCCGGATCTTCGGCGTGACGAGCTAACGCTTTAACCTCAAGGCTACACCATCGCCTCTAATCTATATAATGTATATACAAGTCTCGATTATACAGGATATATGTCCAAACATATGCCAAAAATGAACAGCTGGTGGTGTTGAAAAAAGTGAAAAATGATAAGCCTTTTTTGTGGAAAATGCCCACACGTCAAAATTCAGTGTTAATAGTGAACATGAATTTGTGGGTGCTTGGTAAATAAATAGTTTGTTTGATATAGCTCTATAATGCACTCATTATGATATATATTCTTCGTTACCTGGATTTCAATAGAAGTGTCAACATACCTAACAATGGATCGGAGGGATTATGTCCAATTATCAAAACAAACAAGAATGATCACAAGATCCCCGATACATTTGGCTTCTAATCATTGCCATGGGAGTCTCCCTTATAGGTTTATTTCACAGAGTAGTCAAACTGGGAGTAATCACCTATACAGGTACAGTACATTATTAAGTGTAGGGGCGCTCCATTATATGTTTATGTTTATGAGTAGTCAAACTGGGAGTAGTCATACTGGGAGTAGTCATAATGGGAAGATACCCTAACAATTAGCCTAGCGGTTAAAGCGTTCGCTCGTAACGCCGAAAACCCAGGTTCGATTCCCCACATGGATACAATGTGTGAAACCCATTCCTGGTGTCCCCCTCCGTGATATTGCTGGCATATTGCTAAAAGTGGGTTAACACAAAACTCACTCACTCACATACCAATTAATATGACAACTGCTTCAAATAGCAAACCGTTCATAATTTATGGCTAGGGGGCGTGATGATGCTTTTTATGGAGAAGCATTTACAATGTGAGTGAACCGCCCCCAAATTTATGTACAAAGTAAGTGACCCCCTGCATGTCATGTACAAAATCAATGACCCCTCCCCCTCCCTTCCCATATTTTTTAAGCATAATGTTTTAATAATGTTGTGTACAAAATGATGACCCCCTAGTACATGTGTACAAAATGATGACCCCCTACCTCACCAGAACAAAATGGGTGACCCCCCTACCTCACCAGAACAAAATGGGTTCAACCCCCCTAGCCATAAGTTATGAACGGTCCCTAAAGTTTTTCCACAAAGTCTTCAATATTCTTTTATGCTCCTTATTTCGTACGAAGAAACCCTACATGTTAGCTATACTACTAAAAGACGTTAAAGAACACTCGATTACTTGCCCCAGTGTTATTCTGTCATGTCCTGACAAACTGACTGTTGTGATACGTAGCAATCGTTTGAGAAGCATATTTATCACACACGACCTTTGATGACTGAGTACAGTAATTATTTACTTCATGCAATAAATTTAGATTTGTTCGTGCGATACAGCATGTGGCAAGTAGAACACCCCTAGACTTTGACCTAACAGACACAATATGACCCTGCCTTTGCGCCAGCGCAGCATACTCGGTGAACCAGGCTACATATGACCTTCAAATGTTATATACTGTACCATTGAGCTTCTCGCTGCCTATACTTCGGAGTCTGCGATCGTCTATCTATAAAGCTAGCTAAAGAAATTGATAGATTATAAAAAAATAAAAGCAGTAATTTCTTGTTTTACTGAAATTGTCGAAATCCAAAATCCTCGACCCGCCTCTGCGAATCCAATTGTTAGATCAACCGTACTCAATGGTACCCGATCCACTGGATGACCTGTACCTATGAATGATTGGAGACATTATTCGACGTTGTTGATTTGTAGTTTATATATAAAAAATAACAACAAATACACGACCGAATTCCATGAACTTTGTTGTTTAAATACTAAGACAACGATATCCAACGTCTGACATTCAACACCAATTGAGGTGTAAAATCACAAACACTGATTGAATTAATTGGTTGATTGTTCATTCACCATCTAAAGAATGAAACTAATAAATGAATGCTTGAATGGTACGATGAATAAAAGTTTGAAATGCATAATGCCTAGATTTTAAAATGTAGAACGAATAAAAGTTTGAATACATATAATAGGATTATTATACGGTCTCTGGTTTGAACTGTATAATGAATGGAGTTTCAAAGTTTATCATGAATTAATGTTGTAAATGTAACATATCATAGCGCTTTGAATAAATTGTTATGAAAGTGTAGATTAGAGTATGTAAATAGTGCTGTAGCAGACCTTTATGTTTGGTCAAGAAATATTGACTTAGTGAAATCAGAGACTTTACTTTTACTTTATATTTATAAGACAGATGTAAGAATATGCACATGCACGCGAGTACATTTCGAGAGATGTAACAGGGACGGATGTCTTTATTGATTGGTTATGTAATATCGGTATTATGGCATATCTTGCAAGAGAACAGAGTTTGGTCACGGCATGCATCATTCGTGACCAACTTGTGTTATTCCGGGACAAGCCGAATAGCGAGGCATTCTTCACCACTCGTCCCTTTCCGTAACCTCCAAGAAGACGGCTTGTCCCGGAATATAACCATTCGTCACAACTCGCCCCTTTCGGCTTGTCCCGGAATAACACGAGTTGGTCACGAATGGGCAACACTACACGCTCCAAACACCGATTTGAGCACAAGGGGTGCACCGAAGTTAGCAAAACTTGGCTCCTGTCTCGTAGTTTTATAAAAGCGCACAGCATAGTGTAGCGTACAAGTAAATAAGTAGTTCAAACACAGGCTGATCTATGGCTCTCAGAAGCAGTGTTTGTTCATAGTTCAATTTTCACTGTGCGTTATCAACGAATGTAATGTCAGTGCGACCTTAGACATTGAATATATGTCCTTTTGTTTTACAAGTACGAAGGAAACATGGAGGAGTCTTCTTTCAATTTTAATATTTTGAACACGATCATTATCGCCTCCTTGGGATATTTGACTGTGAAGGCTATCTGTGGTATTCTCAAGTTCATAAAGTTCAGGAGAATATACAACGCCATTCCTGGGGAACAGTCCTTCAACCCTTTTTTGGGAACTCTACACAAGGTGACAAATAGCTATGAAAAAACCCGAACCCATCTCACACTTCTGTGACACATAAGCAGCCTAGCTATTTCATCAATGTTTTGTTGTCATCCATGCTGGTTGTCATCAGACTCCTGGCCCGGTACAATTTGCTTACAGTGTATTGGTACAGGGCCACTGGTAGATCTAATTGCATTAACAGTATCCTGACATGTGTTCATTGTAATTTGGGGTGGAGTGGCCTACTGGCTGCCGAACAGTTATTGCCATATTTTAGAGGTATTTACAAAATTACTCCAACCATCGTTAAATTAGTGAAACAGAATTAATTATGATACATAATTAGCTATTCACTGTTGTGTCGAATCCGTTCAGTACTACCGATCATGTTTTTATACAACACAGCAGAAGGGAATCATGGCAGTACAAATAGATGTTTTCTCACAACTAACTGTAACAGTTATCGCTATTTCAGAATTTCTCATGTCATTCATAAAATATATATTTATATCATAAAGTAACCTCGAATAATTGATTGTGTGACTAGTTGTGTAATTTTTTACAGTAGCTATGGAATCAAACAATTAATGACTTTTGCGAACTTGAACTTACTATTCTATGGATTGTTTGACATCCCCCTGACTAAGTTAAATTTTTTTTAGAGGGTTCATAGCTTTATCTTTCATTTTGCTCTAATGTTACTGACGTGAAGAATTTTCTTTTGCTGTCCTTTATTGTTGTCAAATACCGTGGGGAAAAATACCGGAATTGACCAGATCTGTGCATGCGTGATACTGATGCATTGGCGATAATTTGTTACGCAGCGATAAGTGTTTGGCAGCCAGTCATCATCTCAGGTGCTGCAAATTAGAGCTTTGCAGAGTTGTTTCCCTAAGACATGCCAGGAACCGAACAAATCCATGTTCATTTGATTATGTGGCTTGGTTTGTCTTCATCATACCTGTGTTTGTGTGATTCGATCACCTAAGTGGAATCTATACAATGGCAGTCTGAAGAAGTTCATGAGTCTGGACCATACAATACAACTATATTGAGCATCTGTTTATGCAAATGGGAACAATAGCTGCTAAAAATGCCATGTCTTGTGTTCATAGCTAAAGATGTCACGACAAAATGTCGTTCACTAATAATCCCATACTGATCTGTATTCTCATCTTTGTGAAAATTTAATGCATTCTGATTCATTAACAGACAGCATACATCTTGTTTGTACTTGTATTGAAGTTGTATTTCCTTCCAGTTTCCAGGGCCTAATGAAGAAGGCATTAAATATGACTTCAAAATGATGAGAGATGTTGCTCCAAAGATTATAAGGATTTGGGCAGGACCATTCCTTCCTGTGTTATTGTTACATCACCCAGAAACTGTCAGAGTTCTGCTCAAGTCCTCAGGTAAGTGGTTTACATTTACTTTATGCTGTCAGACACCAGTTCTCAGGTAAATGGTTTACATTTGCTTGGTGCTGTCAGACACCAGTTCTCAGGTAGATGGTTTACATTTGCTTGGTGCTGCCAGACACCTGATGTGGTACTGGTAGATGGATTACATTTACCGGTAGTTGGTTCTGTCAGACACTAGTCCTCAGGTAAATGGTTTACATTTACTTGGTGCTGTCAGACACCAGTCCTCAGGTAGATGGTTTACATTTACTTGGTGCTGCCAGACATCAGTCCTCAGGTAGATGGTTTACATTTACTTTGTGCTGTCAGACACCTGTTGTGGTAGATGGTTTACATTTACTTGATGCAGTCAGACACTAGTCATCAGATAAATGGTTTACATTTACTTTGTGCTGTCAGACACCAGTCCTCAGGTAAATGGTTTACATTTACTTGGTGCTGTCTGACACCTGTTGTGGTAGATGGTTTACATTTACTTGGTGCTGCCAGACACCAGTCCTCAGGTAGATGGTTTACATTTACTTGGTGCTGTCAGACACCTGTTGTGGTAGATGGTTTACATTTACTTGGTGCTGCCAGACACCAGTCCTCAGGTAGATGGTTTACATTTACTTGGTGCTGTCTGACACCAGTCCTCAGGTAGATGGTTTACATTTACTTTGTGCTGCCAGACACCAGTCCTCAGGTAGATGGTTTACATTTACTTGGTGCTGTCTGACACCAGTCCTCAGGTAGATGGTTTACATTTACTTTGTGCTGTCAGACACCAGTCCTAAGGTAAATGGTTTACATTTACTTGGTGCTGTCTGACACCTGTTGTGGTAGATGGTTTACATTTACTTGGTGCTGCCAGACACCAGTCCTCAGGTAAATGGTTTACATTTACTTGGTGCTGCCAGACACCAGTCCTCAGGTTGATGGTTTACATTTACTTGGTGCTGTCAGACACCAGTCCTCAGGTAGATGGTTTACATTTACTTTGTGCTGCCAGACACCTGTTGTGGTAGATGGTTTACATTTACTTGGTGCTGTCTGACACCAGTCCTCAGGTAGATGGTTTACATTTACTTTGTGCTGTCAGACACCAGTCCTCAGGTAAATGGTTTACATTTACTTGGTGCTGTCTGACACCTGTTGTGGTAGATGGTTTACATTTACTTGGTGCTGCCAGACACCAGTCCTCAGGTAGATGGTTTACATTTACTTGGTGCTGCCAGACACCAGTCCTCAGGTAGATGGTTTACATTTACTTGGTGCTGTCTGACACCAGTCCTCAGGTAGATGGTTTACATTTACTTTGTGCTGTCAGACACCAGTCCTCAGGTAAATGGTTTACATTTAGTTGGTGCTGTCTGACACCTGTTGTGGTAGATGGTTTACATTTACTTGGTGCTGCCAGACACCAGTCCTCAGGTAGATGGTTTACATTTACTTGGTGCTGCCAGACACCAGTCCTCAGGTAGATGGTTTACATTTACTTGGTGCTGTCAGACACCAGTCCTCAGGTAGATGGTTTACATTTACTTGGTGCTGCCAGACACCAGTCCTCAGGTAGATGGTTTACATTTACTTGGTGCTGTCTGACACCAGTCCTCAGGTAGATGGTTTACATTTACTTGGTGCTGCCAGACACCAGTCCTCAGGTAGATGGTTTACATTTACTTGGTGCTGTCTGACACCAGTCCTCAGGTAGATGGTTTACATTTACTTGGTGCTGTCAGACACCAGTCCTCAGGTAGATGGTTTACATTTACTTTGTGCTGCCAGACACCAGTCCTCAGGTAGATGGTTTACATTTACTTTGTGCTGCCAGACACCAGTCCTCAGGTAGATGGTTTACATTTACTTGGTGCTGTCAGACACCAGTCCTCAGGTAGATGGTTTACATTTACTTGGTGCTGCCAGACACCAGTCCTCAGGTAGATGGTTTACATTTACTTGGTGCTGTCAGACACCAGTCCTCTGGTAGATGGTTTACATTTACTTGGTGCTGTCAAACACTAGTCCTCAGGTAAATGTTTTACATTTACTTTATGCTGTCAGACACCAGTTCTCAGGTAGATGGTTTACATTTACTTTGTGCTGCCAGACACCTGTCCTGTGGTAGATGGTTTACGTTTACTTTGTGCTGCCAGACACCTGTTGTGGTACTGGGAGATGGTTTACATTTACCGGTACTTGGTTCTGTCAGACACCAGGTTTAGATGGGTTACATTTACTTTATGCTGTCAGACACCAGTCCTCAGGTAGATGGTTTACATTTACTTTATGCTGCCAGACACCAGTCCTCGGGTAGATGGTTTACATTTACTTGGTGCTGTCAGACACCTGTCCTCAGATAGATGGTTTACAATTACTGATGCATCTACAGCTGCAGAATCCTTAGACTTTGTAATTGTTTCATCTGTTTCATAAATGTTTTTGAGAAGGATTTGAAAGTATGTTTTTCAGACTTGAAGTGCAGAGTGGCATGCTAAGAGTTTACAGGCTTTGAGGAAAGGATAGTGAAGGGGCTGATTCAGTTTTTGCAAGTGCAAAGTATGAGGATGCTTGTGTCCCAGTGCTTTAATGTTATGATAGTTCATTAAGATTAATCTAAGGCAGAAAACAAACAGAAAAACATTAACAATGGGGTCAGTGGCTAACTGATGTGCTGTTACATTGACGTGTCTGCCCCCTACGTTAAAACACACTTTACCAGAAAAAACCAAAAATGATGAACAGTTTGACGACAGTTTATGTTCAGGGTAAATATCTTCTCTGAATTGTTTTGTGATAAACGTAAACCATATAACCTGAATACCAAAAGGCTGTGAAAGATGGTACTCACACTTGAACACACACATACATATGCACATGCACTTGCACACACATGTTGTAGATGTGGAATAATTAAGATTCCTATTTCCCCACTCTTGTATTAATATGTTCATTTCAGAGCCGAAGCCCAGGGGAAAGTATGTAGCAGGGCCGTATGACATGGGCGTGCCCTGGTTGGGGGAAGGGCTGCTTATTGCCAATGGAGACCGATGGGCACGGAGTCGGCGCCTTCTCACCCCAGCTTTCCATTTCGACATCCTCAAACCTTACTTTTCAATCAATAATCAGGCTACTGATATTTTGTTGGTAAGTACTTGATATCATCACTTTTTTGTTGGTGACTTTATTTTCAGAGCATTTGTCCCTTAATTATATATTTTAAAACTTTAAAAAAACAAGATACAAGTTCCCAAATACATCCATAAACAAATTTGTGAATGTATGAGTGAGTGAGTGAGTTTTAGTTTTACGTCGCTTTTAGCAATATCACAGCAGAGGACACCAGAAATTGTGAAAGTATGAGTGAGTGAGTGAGTTTTAGTTTTACGATAAGCGTGTTAATTCCTTTGCAGTTGTTTAAGAATTAAAGGAGGGGAACATGGTACTTTCCTACTGAAATTCTATTTTTAAAATTCATTCATACACAGTGAGTACAGAGGATTTCTAGCATCAGATCACCTTGCACAATGTTTTTCAGTCAATCAGATTACAGCACAGTCAATGTATTCCTTTGAGCATCGTAAGCTTTTCATGTTGAAATCATCTGCCTGCAGGACAAAATATCCAAAACCTGCAAAACAGGGAAAACCTTTGAAGTGTTCAACGTCATTAGTCTTTGTGCCCTTGACATCTTACTGAGGTGTGCCTTCTCTCAGACCAGCAACTGTCAGACTGATGGGTAAGTCTTGTCACCAAACTCTATAATTTATAGCGTGAAGCGGGGTGAAATAGGATTTATTTTTGAGTGAGTGAGTGAGTGAGTGAGTTTTATCTTACGCCATTCTCAGCAATATTCCAGTAATATGGCGGTGGTCTGTAAATAATCGAGTCTGGACCAGACAATCCAGTGATCAACAGAAAGAGCATCGATCTACGCAATTGGGATACGATGACATGTGTCAATCAAATCAGCGAGCCTGGCCACCTGATTTTTTAAATCAAAATTATTCAACAATAGATCTATATTTTGTTGGTTGGTTTCAGAGGCCCAGAAAAGCTGCGTATCCGGGTAAAATAAGCATAGAAAATTTCCAATTACGCATTGAAAAAATAATTGTTGCATACCATTTACACATTTAAAATGTTAGATACGCAAAAAGTTTAAAACAAATGCGTACAGAGTATATTTATAAAAATCGCTTTTGTAATGAAAAAGACATTGATTGCTATCAAGTTGTACTGTTAGTATAGGACAAGTGTTGTACTGTCAGTATAGGATGAGTGATTTTTTATGAAATCATTTCCATTATATTTAAGTTGGTTTTGATTAGGTATGACATGAGGCAGAACATACCTGCTTAGTAAACTTACTCAATGACATAATACTTAGGTGAGTGAAATGACTGCAATACGCACATATTTGAAAGCAGTGCGTAACGGAAAATGAAATACCCACCCAACATTCATAATACCCACTCCCAAAAAATACAGTGGGTACAGTACCCACATGACCTAATTCTTATCTGGAGCTCTGCGGTTCGTTGTTTAACGTCGCACTCAGCAATATTCCAACTATTAGGCAGCGGTCTGTAAATAATCGAGTCTGAAAGAGACAATCCAGTGATCATCAATCTACACAATTGGGATACAGTGACATGTGTCAACCAAGTCAGCGAGCCTGATCATGCTGCATCTTAACATGGACGCCCCTCTGAGATTCATTGTACTGACTCTGATCCGGCTAGTCCTTGTATTATCCTTAAGGCTGAATGAATGTTACCAGACAGTGAACCACCAGCCTTTGTCTCCAGGCCAATGTTAACACTTTCCAATACACGAGTGACGTGTTTCTAATATTAAGAATATCTCACTAACATCAGGTATACATGTATACAGGTCTTATAATGGGACAAGTTATTATTACCTCTCTTGCTCAAGTCACAACTTCTTCCTAAAGCAAGGGACTTAATGGACAATAGAAGCAGCGATCGAAATAATCGCCGGCCTAGAGGCCCAGCGCCGGTTGTTATTGTATCGGGCCGGCAGTTTCAAATATTGCAGGCCCTTGTGGCCTTCATTAAATTATCTGTCATTTTTACAACCGGAATCTTTCCCTTTTTTTTTTTCCTTTATTAACGTTCGGGAATTGTCCATGATCCAGCATGTTATGATAATTTACAGTTTCACTTCCTGGTAGTTCAGCGCTTTGCATATAAGAATGTGAACACCATTCTTATAACAGTCCTATAACACCAGACAAATAAAAACGTCTCTCTGTGCCACAGACTTCGATGACTGATTTTGTAGAAACCGTGTTGAACTGTGTACAGTGTAGTCTTTTTTTGGTTTTATTAGTTTGACTTTAACAAAAGGGGCCAGCAGATTTCATTCAGGGCCTGTAGATTCTAAAGCAAATTGCAAACACTGAATAGAAGTATAGTTTCAACCTGCCTGGAATGTCAGTTATTTTTGGGCTCACATGATGTGGCTATGCATAGTCCAGTCAACATGGTAAAACTGTATTGACATCCATTTTGTAAACATGGAAACTGCTGGGCAGACATTGGTGAACTTGCTTATTTAGTGATCTGATAAGATTTGTTAGGTAAGACCTGCTATGTTACAATAGAGATTATTCATCAGATTGTCTTGACTTGATGCAGCCGTTTTGATTGAAGAAAATGCAAGTGATATGAGAGGTGGGATCTTGTTGATCAACAGGACGGACATAGAAGGGAGATAACTCATGACAGCCACTGGTGGCACTACCAATAAGATTACACAAGACCAAATGTTTTGCCATAGACTTTCACAGTAACGTTATGTTGTCTTAAAATAGAATTAACCAGGCTGTTTAATCGCCATTACATGTATATGTATGCACAGTGGGCCTGTGTATACATTAATTCTGAATAGAAAGGAACCCAATAATATGAATAGAACTGAACATGTTAATCTGAATAGAATATATTGAACCAGAGAGAATAGAATATGGTTTGCATGATATGGAAACTTAACTTATGTCTGTTTCAGAGAGAATCATCCATACATACAGGCTGTCAACAACCTGACAAATATGTGGTCTGCCCGTTCTCTGTAAGTAGTCTTGTTAGTCTGTCTGTTTGAGTGAGTGAGTGATCGTAGTTCAAGTCCAGATAGTTAAGAAGTCAGATCTCCTCAGTGTTTCCAGCTGTGAGCTGCGAAGTGGCTTTCGCCTAAGACAGGGGTGGAAATAACTTTAAAATTTCTAGTGTACTCCGGTACAGTGGCACATGTAAAATCACTTGCCCTGATAATGTTTCCTCTTTACCGGCCGTGTTCTTCTTGATTTTTTAAATAAACAACATAGTTAACATTGGAAAGTCAACTGGATACTGGTACAGTGTGATATACGAATTTGCTTGCCCAACAAAAAAAAAATCACTGGACTCGGACGTCGGGCAATGGGTTATTTCCACCCCTGTAAGACCCTTGCAGTCAATGGAAGCATCTGCCTTTAATTTGCCAAGAGACAGGTGACAATGTGTCTGTGACAATTGGGAATGGCAGACCCCAATTGTATGGTAGTGGTCACTAGGTGTGTGTCATGAAATAGCTTGTCTCTAGATGTAAGTCATAGGGGTCGCATCCAGACATCCCCATGTAATGTTGAGCAAGCGTCAATCATAAATAAATGCTATGGAAGTCGTGGGAGGCCATCCATTAGGTATCATCACTAAAGTACCAAAGTGGGAAACGCCACAAGCCGTCCAGATATCCTTGAAATGTTTAGTAGGCACTAGAATCGCTGAAGAACCAGGATCAATTCCCCACATGGTTACAATGTGTGAAGCCCATTTCTAATGTCCCCTGCCGTGATATTGCTGGAATATTGCTAAAATCAGCGTAAACCTAAACTCACTCACTCTTCTGGAGTTATCCCAGAGGAGAGTTTATGCTTTTTCATAGAGATCGTCCTTGGGGTACATATATGCATTTTCTGCGCTGAAAATGTCCTGTGACAGTTGTATCAATTTTTTAATAAAAATATTGTACAATAAATAAAATCTTTTTTATCTATTATACGGCCCCCACCTCGTGGAGTTACCTCCCGCTATGCATGCGCAGCCAACCAGGAAAGCACCTAGGCCCGTATCATCATTCCTTCTGCTGTCACTCCACTGAACGGATGTGTAGAGTAGAGCTGAACTCCTTCACTAAAACGAAGTTAAAGAGAATAATGTCTGGGACACCACCACCTGTATGTATGGTCTTTATTTTGTCCTATGAATGGAACAGTAAGGCTTTGTGGTCGGTTGTCTCATAATTGTGACTTTGTATTAAATATTTTACGCTAACTTTCCTGTGGTTTTCGCACGTGTTGCTTTGCCGTGGCAGGAAGTTTAGCGTGCTACGTGGTTGTCATATTGCGTTTTTACCAAGTATTTCTTCCCGTGGTTGCATCCACGTAATTTTCAATGTTTTGTACGTGTATATTCATGCTGCTGGCTCCGCTGTTAGCTACATGCTTGCGTGTTTGCTTTCAGGTTTTTTCCGGATGTTCTGTCTGCGGACAGAGTATCCCCAGAGCAGACAAGCATGACAAGTGTCTCATTTGTCTTGAGAAAGTTGGACATAATCCCGACATATGTGAACTGTGTATGGGCTTCTCCCCCCGAGCCCAGAAAAGGAGGGCTGCTGATTTCCTCTTTTATAGAGAAATGCGAGAGGCGGGAGGGGAACTGACCCAGGTCCCCCCGTCTAAGGCCAAAAAACCTAAGGCAGGCAAAAAACCTAAGTCGCGCAGTAAGGAGCCTTCTACTGCTCCCAGCGGTTTTGACATGTCCGTAATAACACAGCTTTTTCAGCAGCACATGGACTCAGTGAAGTCCCTTGTTCATGAGTCGGTTGGAGGTCACCGTCAGGAGTTCCTTGCCCACTCTGAGCAGGGGACGGAGAGTCCGGGGATGGGATTGCCGAGCCCTGTTGGCGCAGGGTCCGTTGAGGATTCCTGGGGTTCCGGTCCCTGCGCCGTCCCGCCCCATGAGAGCGGCGGTCCCAGTTCTGCCTGGTATTCCTCCCGCGTCTCGGGACCGGGGTTCGAGTGTGGTGTCGGGTGCTGAAGTGGGGAGCTCCTTCAGCTCTTCCCTTCCCTCTGTGTCTGGTGCTAGGCCTCCCACCGGGTCGGGGTTCGGGTCCTCTTCGCGAGGAGACCCAGCCTCTGACTCGGGGAGGTAGAGGAGCCGGAGGGCGCTTTCCGTTTCTCGACGGCTCTGCGGGAGGTACGGCAACGCATTGCTGAGTTTATCCCCCAGGCCGCGGTGCCTACCAGCCGCTCGGACTCAGCTGAGTTCCGCCTGCCAGGCAACCCTGATGCAGGACGTCGTGGATCCTCTCCTGGTTGGGACACGCCTCCAGTTTGACTTGCCTGAGCTTGTCAAGAGGTACCAGCTGGGGGACGATTCCCTGTTCTTTGTGCCAGTGGTCGATGAGTGTGTTTTCACTTCAGTCGCCCTGGGGGGAGGTTCCGGCTGCCAGGCAAGGGCGTTTAGTGCCACCGTTTGCCCTCGCGGGCCCCCCCTACGAGGAAGTTTACCGGAATGCCATGCAGCAGGTACGGGTGGTCATCCACGAGGCCTACCTCTCCTCGGTTCAGAGGTCGGCCCTGGAGGCTGAGGGGAACGCTGGGGACGTGTCCCCGCATGTCGTTCTCTTAACGCCAACTATCCGAAGTTCAGGCCCACCTAGCGCGCGACTCCTTGCGGTCAGCGGCGTCTGCGGTGATGTGCGCAGTCATGGGGATGCGCAAGCTGTGGCTGTCGACGTCTCGCTATTCGGCAGCTACACAGCAGACCTTGCTGGCCCTTCCCTTCCGTCTGGGAGCGACGTTGTTTCCTGGGGCCCAGCAGGTCATCCGGGAGGCTGCCGCTGCAGCTACCTCCTTCAAGGATTCTAAGGCCTTGTTGGAGCACCCGCGGGCTTCTCGCCCCTGCGCTCCGGTTCCGGCTTCCTCCTCCGGGGTGCAGCCTACACCCGAGTCTGCCGGCTGGCTTTGGCCGCTGGGCAGGGGTAGGCGGAGGAGCCGTCCCGCCAAGGGTAAGGGCAAGGAGCAGACCTCTTCGTCTGGCTCCCAGCCTTTTCGCGGGCGCGGGAGGTCTGCCCGAGACGAAGTTCAGGTTTTGCTGGACAAGTCCACTATAGAGCGCATACCACCGGGCGAGGAACAGGCGGGATTTTATTCCTCGTACTTCCTCGTTCCGAAGAAAGACGGTGGGTTCCGTCCCATTCTCAACCTCAAGGGGTTGAATCGCATGCTAGAGGTTCCATCTTTCAAGATGGAGACACTTCGCTCGGTGATCTCCTCTGTTCAGCCCGGCGATTGGCTCACGTCAATCGACCTAAAGGATGCGTATCTACATGTGCCCATTCATCCATCGTTCAAGCAGTACCTCTGGTTCTCTTACAACGGGATGAATTACCAATTCACGGTGCTCCCCTTCGGCATATCCACTGCCCCCAGGGTGTTCACCATGCTTATGTTAGTGCCAGCTACCCTCGCTCGATCGCGCTAACACAGCCAGCGAGCCTAGATTCTACTCACACAGTGATAGACATTCTAGTTCGACTAGGGTGGATCATCAACCTCAAGAAATCCGACCTGGTACCCACCCAGGACTTGGTTTTTCTCGGGGTGCGGTTCCAAACTCACAAGGATCTTGTCTCCTTGTCGCCCGACCGGGTCACCAGAGTACGGGAGATGGTGTCTTCGTTCCTCTCCCAGCCCCAGGCACCAGCACGGACTTGGCTCCGTCTACTGGGCCATATGGCGGTGACTATCTCTGTAGTGTGGCGGGCGCGGTTGAGGATGCGCCCTATACAGCAAGCTTTGGCGAGTCTGTTGGCTCACTCGGAGGACCTGGAGCGGAGTCTCACAGTCCCCGGGTGGTTGTCTCCTCACCTTCAGTGGTGGACCTATGTTGGGAATCTCTCCAAGGGGGTCCCTTTGGAAATCCTGACGCCAGCTCTTACAGTTCAAACCGATGCATCCCTCATGGGCTGGGGGGGTGTTCTGGGCAGTCTGTTGGTGTCCGGACTCTGGTCCAAAGCCGAAGCCCGCCTTCACATCAACATGTTGGAACTGAGAGCTGTGCGGTTGGTTTTCGAGCGCTTCCGGGAGCATGTCCAGGGCCAGGTGGTTCGTCTTCAGTTGGACAACCGTACGGCCATGACGTACATCCTGAAGCAAGGCGGCATGGTGTCCCTAGAGCTCCTTCGGGAGAGGGACTTTTGTCCTCTGGTGCTACCAGTGCGACTGTCAGGTACTCCCTGTTTATCTCCCGGGGCTGGAGAACGTGCGAGCAGACGCTCTCTCTCGCCGGATCCTGGCCCCGCAGGATCCTGGCCCCGCACGAGTGGATGCTCGACCGGCAGGTATTCGGAGTTATCCCCAGTTGTACGGATCGTTCCAGGTGGATCTGTTTGCGTCCGGCGGGACGAATCAGATACCCGTGTTCTGCTCTCGAATGGCTTCCGATGCCTTCCTGCTGGATTGGACGGGCAAAGTGCTCTCGGCGTTCCCGCCGTTACCACTCATTCCCCGGGTCCTCTCCCAGCTGTCCACCCAGCCAGCTCGGCTGCTTGTGCTACTGGCACCGCTTTGGCATCACAGAGCTGGTTTCTGGTAATTCTCAGGTTTCTGGCTCAGCCTCCTGTTCTATTACCTTTGCGACCGGACATTCTCACTCAGAACGGCGCACCATACCCCAATCCAAGGATTCAGTGGGTGGCTTGGCCTCTGTCAGGTCTAGCCTCGAAGCACGCGGAATTCCTGCAGCAGTTGCAGACACAATTTTGGCTTCGAGGCGGGATTCGACAAACGTTCAATATGAGGATAGGTGGTCCCGCTATGCACGCTGGTGTTCAGATAGGGGGATTGCAGATCCCTTTTCTGCGGATTTAGTCCGAGTATTGGAGTTTTTGCAAGCTCGTTTGGAAGAAGGCCTGGCGGCTTCGACCATTCGTGGCTACTACACCGCTATATCCACTTTTCACACCCCTGTCGATGGTGCTCTTCTGGGGCAGCACCCTCTCGTACAGCGCTTTTTAGCTGGCGCGGA